CCAGAGCGACAAAATTATTTTTTCCACAACTAATTAACGGCAAAAAACGGCAAATTCATGGGTATAAGCGACATTTTTTGCTTGATGTTGTTTCGCTAACTTTATACACGTCCAAATTTTCAACTGCGCTTGTTCTCTTCACTGCTCAAGCTTCATATTGGATACTATTCAAAAGCATTCCTCCAATTTGTATATAGTGACCTATGATGAACAATCAAAGAAACCTTATTGTTACATTTATTACATTCATTTGTCGAAAAAAGGTTGTAAGCGCCACCAGCAAAGATGCTAGGCTTACTGGAAAAACGTGTTATCATCCATTGGTATTTGGATATAAAACGTTTTTCCATCATTAAAATTTTGTAAATCTTTTTTTTTTACTTGAAAGATATATATGGATATACATTTTAATTCACGGGCAAGTTTCTTGGAGACTGCTGCACCGAAAAATGGAAAACTAAATCAAATGACTTTATGTGCGTCGTCAAAAATGCTTTTTTCCATTCCTGAAAACTTATAATTATGTCGCTTACAACGTTATTTGCGGCGACCATTCATTTGTTTGTGAAAAAATTATATGTTAAGGGCTTATATAAACTAGATAACATCCTTGAGTTTCGTTCCTCTAACTTTGTCAGCTTAAAAATTACCTATTCGTCCTTGTGATTCCAAAAAATTTAAATTTAAACGAAATTTCTTATTGCGTTTGTTACCCATATTTTATTCTACATTGCATTGAACTTTTTAACAATTTTTGGAATTAATAATATCTTTGAAATTACAAAGTCCTTCAAAATAAAAAAAATTAAAACGCCACTTTAAATAAAAAAGTAGGTTTCAAACCCATTTATTATTATTTATTTCATGGTAAGAGAGCTTCTCAAACAATATAGAAGCAATTTTTTCGATTAAAGTTGTTGAATATCTAAATCCCGGGATCCCGGGATTGTGACAACGCCGTCCGGAAAATCCCGGGATCGGAAAAAGCTGAAAAATTAACATCCCTAGTATGCACATAAGCGTCTATGCGAGCGTCACCACGTGAATTTGCAACTTTTACTCACATTTAAGAAATGTATCCATCGTTTAAGCACTCCACGGACAAGCCAGCACCACCACTACTTTTTTATACAGAAGCCAATTAATAACAAATTACCATAAAAAAGCCCCTGCAATACTTGCAATACGTTCTTCCTATTTGCGCTTTCCTAAGGAACAAATCTATCGATGGAGACCGCAACCCATCGATAATATTAAATATTTAAAATCCATCGATTCTATCGAAAGTGCTATTGATTTCTCTCATGCTCTACTGACAGGTCTATAGTCGCCAGCATAATTAAGTTGCATTCGTCTTCTTCGCAACTGGCAAAATTATAATTTTTTTCCACATTGCTGGAAAGCATGAGCTGGTAAAAAAATGGTTTATTATATGAGTCAGAGGGCCTATTATATAATCAATTACTAGTTTGAAGAATTTCAGCGAGATTTCATCCTCCCCTATAGCACTACACTTAATTTTTGACAGAGCCATCAGAACCTCAACCTCGCTAACTGCCATAAATTTAAACTCGTGTTCTGGACTGGCACAAGATATGAAATCTTTTAGCACGGGAGCACAATTGTTTTTGTTGTTGGCACTGATAAAATATTCGTTAAGCTCATCGGCGTCAATTTCACACTCGGGCCACAGTTCATTCGAGGGGAGTGACGGATTTAGTCTTGAATAGCTGTACTAACGCTTTCCCATTTGGCATGCAGATGTGCTCGAAATATTAGCGAAAAAAATTATTAAACTTGCAACTTGCACTTTATTATACTAAAATATAATGATCTATAAAACTGCATACCCAAAATTTTTATAAAAACCAACAACAAAAAAAATACTTTTCGTGAAAAATTTTTTATAACATTTCAAATTATTACTTTTTAATTTTCTTTTTCATTTTCGGAGAACCCTACAATTGTTTTTAAAAAGTTTTTATTATGTAACTTTTAGTAGCTGGAACAGGAAAATCGATCTTCTTCAAAATTGGCACCTTTTCTGCACTTTGCACTAAAAAAATTTAAATAAACAAATAAAAAATAAAAAATTGCGCTCAACAAGTCACTTGACAATTTTATTAACTTTTATTAAAAAAAAATTATCAAACTGGTTGAGAAATGAAGGCTCCAGTGAATTATGAACTTTAAATTCCATTTATTGACCACTGTGCATCGAAGCCCTGCTGAATGATAGTGCGCACTTCTAACCACTACACCACAGCGACCGCAGCTGCAACTACGATCCCCTAAAATACGGTCTGAAAAGTACTAAAATAAATAATATTTCGATTACATTTCCTACCAAGCCAATTTTTTCGTCAAAATAATTATTCTCATGTAGGGCTGACAAATAGAGGCCAATTATCTTGACAAAGGGATGGCGATAATTCGTTCTAACTGTCCGTCTTCACCTGCTTCAAGCCCTCGCTTGCGTGACGATGCATGCAAGATCCCGCACGTGTAGACCGCAAAAAGTACGAGGCATACTTTTTCTCGCATACCCAGCGGTTTGCGATATCCCGCTTGCTGTCGATTGTAACTTTGGTAGTTTGAATTTTACCAAAATAAAAAATACAAATTTAGCAAGAGTTATACTGATTTCCACCAAGCCTTAATTGCAGTTTATGCTTATTGGAAAACGGAGATTACAACTCGAAGGGTGTAATCCCACCTATTAAGTAAAGCAAACGAAAGGGAAAAAGCAAAAATTAGAAGCAAACCTTGCCGATCACCCTATGTTAAAATTAATGGAACTGGAAATAGGCTATTAGTGACTATTTCAAATAATAAAATGGAGTGGCGAATTCCAGATTTTTTTTAAATATGAAAGCCGTGGGAATTTCGTGAAAAAGTATGCTTTCAAATACCCAGTCAACAAAACTACATCTCGCTTGCGAGAAATAAAAGCAGAGTGCAAGCGAGATTCTCAAGCAGGTGAAGATGCCCGGCAAAATACATGCAATACGGCGAAATTCACATTCATACGGAGTGGATTTTCTAAATTAGCCAATACATATGCTCTAAATATAAGCCAAATTGGACAACACTTAAATGCGATTTTTATAAATACTTCGACATCAGCGTCTTTTTGTGTAAAAAGTTGTCCTTGTGACATCGCCAGTATATGCTTCGAATATAGGCTAAAACAGACAATTTATACAAAAGTTTCTACATGTACCCGTAGTATTTAAAGTTCATTCCTCTAAAATTGGTTGGACATTTCGAAGATTAGCGGGTACGAACATATAAGGCCGTTATTTGTATATATTAAGGGCGGTATTATCACGTGCAAAGCGAATGAATTTGTCGAAGCGAACGGTTTGGGGAAGCGAATGGATTGGTGGACGCAACTTAAATATGCATTAAGAGTGTTCGCTTTTAACAGCTTGTGCAAGTTCTTTGCATCGCGAACACTTTTAATGCCTTCTGTGCCTTTTAATTCGGTTCGCCAAAATCATTCGCTTCGCAAATGATAATACCACCCTTAGATATTAGCGGTTCAATGGTTGGCCGTTCGGCAAACGTGTTTTGCACTGAACGACCGTTTTGACTTATTTCTGTTACTTTGGTAATGATCTCAACAGCTGATTTAAAGCAATTTTCTTTTCTTCCTTTAATATGTTAAACATAAACTTTGTAATGTACTTCGAGCCTTTATTTTCATCTAAATACTAATGTCCAACAGCTGTTTGCTATTTGGCTACTACCGATCAAATTTTCAAGCCTTCGGCCGTAGCGCTTGCGCGCTTTCCTTCGTTACGCTAGATTTACAGAAAGAAAATATATGTACGTGAAACTGCCGACTAACGAAGCAACCAGCTGGGTGAAAATACCCCTATTATTATACCCGAGCGCACTTGTGCACAAGGGTATATTAATTTTGTTCACATAACGGTTGTTTGTAACAGCCAAAACGAATCGAGATAGATATAGACAAATGTATACATAAATGATCAGGATGAAAAAAGAAATCGATTAAGCCATGTCTGTCTGTCCGTCCGTCTGTCCGTCTGTCCGTCCGTCCGTGTACACGATAACTCGAGCAAAAATTTAGATATCTCAACGAAATTTGGTATCTAGGTTTCCCTTAATCCAAGGTAGGTTGGTATTGAAAATGGGCGAAATCGGACTGTAACCACGCCCACTTTACATATAACGGTAATTTCCAGAAATACGAAAACTGCGATATTTTAGTAACTACTGACGATAATTCACTCAAAATTGACATTTACAATAATTTTTAGACGAAAAATAAGAATATTATAAATTTTTGCAAAATGGGCGTAGCCACGCCCACTTATGGTTACATGTGTATATCTTGGTAACCGCTGCACCAATTTCTTCCAAACTTGGCACAGTTGTTGGCCTTGGTACAGCATACAAAATTTTTAAAATCGGACGATAACCACGCCTACATCCCATATAACGGTAATTTAGAGAAATACAAAATCTTAGATAAATCAGTAAATATTGAAGCTAATTTATTCAAAATTGACGCTTGCAACAATTCTTTATCAAGAAATACGTTTATGGTAAAAGTTTGGAAAATGGGCGTGGCACCGCCCACTTATGATCACATATATGTATATCGGTAACCGTTCTACCAATTTGTACCAAACTCGGTGTGGTTATTGTGCTTGCCACAGATAAGCAAAACTTTGAAAGTTATTGAAATCGGACTAAAATTACGGCCGCTTTTCATATAACGGTAAATTTCAGAAATGCTTGAAACTTCAATATTTCGAAATTGAAGGACGCTAATTTACTCAAAATTGATACACCCCGGCTTACCATCAGCGGTAGCTTTCGGAAAGGTGAAAAACATATATTTAATACTTGCGCCGGGTATTTAATGTTCGGCTCCGCCCGAACTTAGACTTTCTTACTTGTTTTTTCCTTAATTTAGTATTTTTAAAAGCTGTAAAATTATTTCCTTTTGTTTATTTTCCTTTTAGGTCAAGCTGGGTATTCCGCTTACAAGTACATCCCTTACGGACCAGTAAATGAAGTTTTGCCATATTTGTCGCGGCGAGCCCAGGAGAATAAGGGTGTTCTAAAGAAAATCCAAAAGGAAAAACGTCTGTTGCTTTCCGAAATCCGTCGTAGATTTTTTACTGGTAAAATATTCTACAAACCTAAGGGGAAGTATGTTCCCATATAAACTTGCGTCATTGAAATAAGTCCATTACACAAATGAAAAAATAAATGAAAAACAAACACAGACATGATGAAACAAAAGAATGGTGATGTCTATTATGAAAGATACCTGGGGGTCACCAAGCACCGAACTCATACGCAAAATATCATGGCTGAACCAAAAAAAAATAAGAAGAATCAGGAACGTGTGAAATTTTATTTATACAAGTAAATCTCTAACTGAAACAATTAAGAATGATATTACGAAATATTTATATTAACAATAAATGTGAAACTACTGATATACATTGAAGAACCAACTTTGAGACTTACCTAAAACTTGAATGCAGTTTTCGAGAGCTACAAAACTTAAATTTGAAAATTACCCAGTACGGAAAGTAACAGGTTTAAATATCGATGTTCAACCAGTTTTTTGCCTACCACAACTAGTTGAAGATCTGACTTCCTTCCTTGGAACGAACTGTTGACTTTAATATGGCGGTGTCCTAGGCATCAGTCAATTATCCGACTCTGCATTTGATTTCAATTACTTTGAAATGCATTTGGCTTAAATCACTTCAAAGTCAGTATGTTTCGTGTGAATACACTTTCGTTCTGCACTTCATTTTCACAAGCTGTCTCTGTAGAGATTCGAACCCGGACCTTCTGGGAGCTAACAAGTAACAGCAGGCATCTCTGCACGCTCAGATAGAGCCAGACATGTAAATGTGCTTTCAAATGTTCAGTTTGAATTGATTTCAACTGCTTTAAAATGCATTTGACTTAAAGCACTTCAAGGTCAGTATGTTTCTTTTGCAGATGTCTTTTCATGCTGAAATACATAGTTAATTGCCCAGAATTAGATGATTTTTCAACTAATATTGATTTATTTGCAAAGATATGTATCAAAAGTGTAACCATTTGGTTTATCTCATTGAGGCTGCTAGGGGATTATACACCAATGTGAAATTAGTTGCTACATATCGTCGTTTAAAGTACAAAACCGCGTATCGTCATTCTGCGAAACCGCGTAATTGACATTTGCTGTCAAAACTCAAATTCTTGGCTCAATCCTTATCCATTCGTCTCGAAATATACTAGCCAGAAATGCGATTGATTTATAAAAAAATAATGTAAAATAATTTTTTTTAAAAACAAGCTTTTATTTAACCTGTACAATCAAAGGAATAACATGAAGTAGTGTAACAAAAGATTTTTTAGCAAGAAAGTTTTGTCAAAACTGCACTAAAATGAATAAAATAAAATAAGTTAACGTCTCGTTAAAGTTACTTAAAGCCATTTAGTGAAAGGAGTTATTCAAACTCTAATGAAAATTACTAACAATTTGTACTAATTTACTTCGTTTTTAAAAAAGCTTGTCGCGCGAATAGAAAACCGGCATTTAAATATCTGCATACATACATATACATACATACCTAACCAATCAGGCATGTACGCTGAATTCGCCGACAAGCTTTTTTAAAAACGAAGTAAATTAGTAAAAATTGTTAGTAATTTTCATTAGAGTTTGAATAACTCCTTTCACTAAATGGCTTTTAGTAACTTTAACGAGACCTTAACTTATTTTATTTTATTCATTTTAGTGCAGTTTTGACAAAACTTTCTTGCTAAAAAATCTTTTGTTACACTACTTCATGTTATTCCTTTGATTGTACAGGTTAAATAAAAGCTTGTTTTTAAAAAATATTTTTTTTTACATTATTTTATTTTATAATTTTTAGTCCATTTATAAAAACGTTGTATATTAAAAAGTGTTATTTTATTTTATTTAAAAAAATTTGCGATTGATATTAAAATAATTCAATTTGCAATGAAAGAGAACAGAAGACTTGGCAAGCAAAATGTTTGCTTACGTTTTGTATAAACATACATATGAACATATAACAGCAGTTAATTTTATTTAAAGAAATGGCGTGTAGTCCATTTCCGCTGTAGCATGGCATATATTTAGGCGCAATATTTAACTGCTTCTGGCGGGGCGACATCTGGAGTCTTCTAATTCCTAGAACGAGGTTCATATCAAGACTAGGTTGATATTTAGGATTTGCCACAAATAGCTTTGCTACACTATCGCCGGCAGGTTTAACCATTTTATAGTGGTTTTACGTTCTTTGGCAAATTACGCTCTGTTAGCCATAAATCTTACTATTTTTTGACCGCCTTTGAATCAAGACCCCTGGACCATATGGGGAATTCATTTATACATTAAATGGCATTGTCATCGTGATTGGAACTATGCTGGAAATTTCAAGTCTCTAACTGGTCGGGAAGTCAGTTTAAAATCGATTGGAAATTTGCGCGATTTGCGCTGGATGACCAAGTTAAATAAAAGCTTATAATAAAAAGATAACCATTTTGAAATATGAGTGTTTTTACTCTCTAGAAAATAATTTATGCAACGTCACATACGCATTTTGCTGATATGCGGGTTTGTACTTCAAACGACGATATGTAAGTAGAAATAAATTAATTTTTCTGAGGTAATTGGTTGAGCTATGCCGTACTGGGTAATAACAACGCTGTGTACATGCAGCCGTACATGCGTATGCACATATGTATGTGTGCATGAGCCGCGAGGATATCACCTGCAGCCGTAGATTCGCTAATCTGCATTTACATATGTATGTACTATGTAGTTATGTATGCACACTTGTATCCGTTTGCGCTCATCCTCACCGGTTCGTTATTATAGCTTATGTACATATCTATACATATGTACATACATGCATACGTAGTTGCTCGAAAATGCAAAAACATCTCGTCACTATTTTTATTTAAGTTGATTTATCTAGTTTGTGTATTTATAAGGCATATTTTGTGGTTTGCCCTAGGGATGGAAAAATCGATTGCGACTCCACTCTAGAATAGAAGATTTTCTCGAAGTAATCGATTTTAGAGAACCGATTCTAAATTTTCAGAATCGAACGACAATCGATTCTGAGAACTCGGTTATCTTATTTTTCTTACATCTTTAGATCAGTGCCCGCCAAACACTTTCCTGGGAAACGAACTATATTCGGCCTTTCACATGACCACAATCGGCTTCTTACACGTACACAATCCGAAGGTCAACAGAAAGAGTAGAAGAGCAACAAATTTTATTTAGTTGCATGCAAACAATAGGCGAAGCAGGTTGATGACGCATTATTGTTGAATAAAGTAGGTACACTGAGCAGGATGAATGAATATTCATTCAAAAATTTTATAACACAATTTTTCGTTCATACACCCCTAGAAATAGGTATGTATATGGTGCCAAGTCGTGTTTTTTCTTCATATTAAAAGAACTTTGTGAATTATGTATTTTTTTAATACCAGACTAGTCCTCAATTAAAACATCCAATATGTTTTGTTATTTATCTTTTGGTTTAATCGTTACTTTAAATTGTTCTTAAGTGTCAAGTTTTACCTAATTTTAAAATAAATATATATTAGATATATATATTTTTATTTTATTTCTACTTGAAATCAACGAAATTTTCTTTTAATATTCAGAGTGCTCGAAGCACGTTGTCTTTTTTGCTCAGAAATCCACACTTACGGCATTATTCATAAAAAATAAAGTAGCTTTATAAAAGGTTTATAAATTGAAAAATGTATGAAAACGTCAATTTATAAAACCCTTTAAACCTACTTTATTTTTCATGAATACGGCCATTAAATTATAAAAAAATAATAATAATTTTGCACAATACATACAAAATTTTACCAACTTTTTCCTTTCTTAGGGCCGTTAACTTTCATTATATGTTTCGATGTTGTATAGATCTAAAAAAAATAGCGCACAATGAAACAACGGCAAAAAAAACATACCAAAGTTTTTATAATAAGTAATACAACACAGAAATTTTTTCCGTGCATTACCACCAACACATTCTCATTTTTTGTTTCATAACTAATACATTCTCATTTTAAGACTTTTCTCTTTTTGGCGGGCACTGCTTTAGATACGCGTGAGTTGTTAGAATTGTGAAATTTCTGGCATACTACCATAAAGTTGAAGCACAACACCGGCGAACGGCAAATTTTTCGTCGCGAATGTTCGCCGAAATAATTAAAACACACTGATTTATATGAGAACGCGCACAATCAAAGCAAACGACGAAGTTTGCTCGACGACTGTTCGCGACCAGTGTTGCCGCGCCGTCTCAAGAAAATGCATCCCTGACCAAGCCAAAAATGTATCCAAATGTATCCAATTTTCTTTTTTATATATACATCTCATAACTTGTAAGAAAACCAAACATTTTCATGACATAAGACATAATTTAACCCATGCTAAGGACTTGGAATACATGTGCATAAAATCAAACATTTGTAATTTCAATTTATAAAGTACATTTTTTGTGCATAAGTATTTTGCAAAGTAAATATAATAAATACACTCTAAAAAGAGCATGTAAAACTACTACTGAAAGTATCTATTTTTCAACAAGAATCTGTATAAATATACGTATAGGATGTTCAGTATTTGATTTTGAACTTGAGACCTTTAAAATATACACATAAATACACATATGTAGAATGTTTAAAATTGCAAAAATTTTCAAACTACAAATACATTTCCTACTAATAATAAACATTACTTTATTTTAAACGTTTTATGTGTAAAAGTAAACAGGCAATGATTAATTTTATTACACTGCGTGCAAATTTGCATACATTAAAAGAGGAGACTGGTTACCTCTCTAAATATGCGCAAATACACAAAAATTTTTTAGAGTGTATTTAAAGTCTTTTCAGTAAAATTCATAAAAGTTTCCTTAAATAAATCAAATTTAGTTTTTTAAACTACATTGAAATCTTCTTTCTTTTTAAATTAACAAATGAAAATATGTGATATGAAAGAGATTACTACAGAAAGAGTATAATTTACTTTACATATATCGTCGTTTAAAGTACAAAACCGCGTATCGTCATTCTGCAAAACCGCGTAACTGACATTTGCTGCCAAAAATTGGATTTGCTCACACAAGCTCTTGGCTCAATCCTTATCCATTCGTCCTGAAATATACTAGCCAGAAATGCGATTGCTTTATAAAAAAGAGAACCATTTTGAAATATAAGTGTTTTTACTCTCTAGAAAATAATTTATGCAACGTCACATACGCGGTTTTGCATTTTGTTGGTACGCGGTTTTGTACTTTAAACGACGATATATATATTAA